CTTGCAAGCTTACGAAATTTACAGGGTAACTTCAGGTCAAAACCACATACCTCGAGAGACCGCACCAGCGACATACTTTCGTGGGTATAATGCAGAGTCGTGCTCGAAAGAAACTCGTCCTCAAAAGCCTGCAAAGATGAAACATCATGAAAATAAGCGCTGCGCACAAAAAACAAACGGTGACGAGCAGGCCGCCTGTCCCGCCGCTTCATTTTAGCAGAGCTACCTTCCGCACGCGAATTGAAACTATATAAGGCTCGAAATCCTGTTACTTTTTCATTTTCTCACCCCATTATCAAGAATGATATCTTCGATTTGATCGTACACGATCATAAATAGTAGCTCATTACTTGTGACGCGCATATCAGATTTCACAGAACAAGAACTAAAGGAAACACAAACGAAACGGTAGGCAGCACTAACAGGGATAATATTTACACATTAGTAGAAAGGTATCGCAAACACTGTATAGCACAAAAATGTTTCAGGAGATTTGCTCATTTCCAAAGCAATGAGGCCGGGAGAACGCAACATATTTGACCATACAAAGGACCACACTGGAGGACTGATTGAACTACAAAGCTGTAAATGAAAGCTAAAAAGCTCACCTGCTTGTACAGATCGAGCGTTCGCAACATTCGAAGAAGAGCTCGCAGTAAATATCGATCCACCTGCAACAGAAACTTTAAGAACCTTGCAGTTGGTTGAGCTCAATCATGAGCACCGTAGATGGGAGAAATGGGCCTTTAAAACTTATCTTTGAAGGATTTCATAAAAAAAGATTATCGCTGGGAAGAGAACTACTACAGTATGATCCAAGACGGAAATATCGCTGAAAAGCTCTTGAACTCCATGATCCCGAATTTTCCTATAACCCGCACCCTCCCACCTATCCAAAATAGCCACTTACACCTGAAACAAGGGATGTAAGTGATGAAGATATGCGGTTTTCAGGTCATTTTTCCACAGCAGATCAGAAAGTTCAGGAGTATTATGTGATTTCAGGTGTAGCGTTGAAAGAAAAGTAGGAATTTCATGGTAGATAGACAGTGAAAAAAAAACTCAAATCACCTGATCTCCAGCCCTTTCTTCTGCAACTCTATCTAGAATTCCTCCAACAAGTTTTTTCAGTACAGTGCCATGCAGGATGATTTCCTCCCGGAAAATTACTAAGGACGACTCCCTTAATCACTCAATCCTAGAAAATAGTAAAAAGTCGACAAACATACGACAAACCTACCAGATAGGCGATTCGTCTATGTTCTCTAGAATAAAAGTTCTATCCAGATACAAGAACACATTGCGAATAAGGATCTGAAATAGCAACGTAAAGCATCGAGGTGAGAATAATTTTCAGAGGTGGTTACCATTTGTTCACAGTAATCACTCCACAGGTTCTCTATCGCCTTCATAAACTCCACTCCACCAGCTACACATTTCTCATTTAGTTCGTTCCTGGAAAATAAAACATACATCCGCGGAAAGCAAATCTTCTAAGCAAGATATCATAAAGGAAGCTGAAACGCGCATCTATTAGAAGAATAGTCGTACCTGAATCGACCAATCCACTTGCGGATATTATCCAATAGCTTATCATATGTGGTCCGCGCCATTTTATTTTCACACAAAGATTCGACTACCTGAATGAATCAAGTTTAGGTATCGAAATATGCAATAACCAGGATGGAGATTACAAAAGCTGAATTCCCTACTTTGTACAACTGCTCCAAATTCGTAGCAACATGTTGTTTAGTCTGGATAGCATTTATGCTGGCTTCAAGAGTGAGCCATCCAGTTGCCATCAAATCGGCAATGTCATCATTTTTTCCTGAAAAAGAATGATGACACATGGATTGATTGCTCGATTGGAGGACTGCGCAAGAATGAGTGGCATCCCACACTGACCCCTGTTGGTTGCAAAGGAATTGAGACCACGAAAAAATGCAATCAAGACAAGGAAACCAGCCTTTGACCTTTTTCCGTCAAGAAAACGCATATTGGTCGGAAGAAATTATTTGATGAAACGCAAAGTAAATCCATGAACTATCTATATCGATTCAGTTCACGCACGGTGTTCCACGAAAACATTGAAAGCAAGATGTGTTGAAAATTACTGCGCAATTATTGAGCGCAAAACTATGTATTTAATTTATGTGGGAATGATCTCGAGCTATCAAGTGTCTGAAAGTTTTTCGTTTACCTTGTGTATCCACAAGAAAGTGGTTCCACTGAAGGGATTTTTTGACCGACTTACTTTCCTAGATTAGTGTTTCGCTCAAGAAGCGAGTCAATGAATAATATTTAACATTGTGCAGAGAACTCTTTCACGACAGTTTCTACCTAAACTTCTTAGGGCGGAAGTGGTGTAGTGGCGTGGCACGCTTACCACGCGAGCGGTCCGGGGATCAAATCCTGGGTCGTGAGTCGCCCGGGCCAACCAAGCCTTCCATCCCTCCGGGGTCGGTTAATTGGTACCAGACTTGTCTGGGAGGATAAAAACACTGACTTGTACATCGGCTGGCCCCGCAAGTCATTGTATAGGCCACATCGCATTCAAACGCCACTACGAATGTACAAATGGAAGTAGAATGCGTGCCGCATCCCAAAAAGGGATTGATCAACGGCAAATGCTTTATCCTTTATCCTTTAAAACCTTCTCACGAGACTTACTTCGAAAGTTTTTGATTGTTAGCTTCTTCACAGTCGGCAATCCTCGCGAGATTTGCCGTGCTGCCCGCGAATCCACCTGCAAGTTCAACAAAATTTAATATGTATTAACACGTTGACGACAGCGTGACGCGGTAACGCGTCCCACTTTGCGCACCTCGTGGGACATTGTGACGCGGTAACGCGTCCCACCCAAGTCATCCCTTTTTCTTGCGCTTGCGCGACTTATTCCTAAGGTCTTTGTACTCATTCTATAGGTCATACATTAGCATACTTAAAAACCACATGGCTCACAGAAAGGCCAAATATTCTTTAGTTTGGCAGAGGTTTTCCAGACCTTACGGATATGTCTGTTCAGTTATTTCCCGTTTTTTCATAAATTTGGCACCGCATCTAACATTCTGACGCGCATGCGCGTCAGAACTATGTCATTCATTTTTATGTGCTTGCGCTCCTTCTTCTCGAGTTTTTTGTATTCATTCTATAGATAATACATTAGCATAACTATAAACCACATGGCAGCCAGAGTGGTCAAATATCCCTTGATTTAGCAAAGATTTTCTGAACGCACAAAACTTTCAATTCTTTCCTAGTATTCCTTTCACTGTCGTAAACATTCATATGAAAATTGTAGAAGCAGTTAATACAAAAAACTATGTGAGATGTTTCGACAAGATACTTGTGCTTGATAGAATAACTTAGGTATAAATGCTTTTAACTATTCAATATTCGGAGAAAGGCAAAGTGCATAGTTTTTGCTTCTTCGTGTTCCATTATAGGAGTTCTTTTTAACACAAAATCCTACTGCTAATTATTCATATGTAACCTTTATACTTTATTCTGCCGAAATAATTCTGTGTTTCTGATTTCCGGTTGTATGCTAAATATCACACAACACGGATTGAGGTGAACGGAACAGGCGAGCTCTGGAGCAAAAAGCTCTCGTCCACCGGCATAATGCCGAGAACGACAAAATCGTCAAGCCGCGTGTACTGTAACGGAAATGTTAGAAACAAATTAGAAGAATTCATATAACTAGAAGGCAGATACTAATAGAATCATTAACTAAAGAGAAAGAAACGCAAAAAATTTGACATTCCTGAGTGCGACTGTACAGCAAAACGTCCGAAGCGAGCCGTTGCTTTACACCACATTCACACATGAGATGTGGCCTCTGATCATCAGGCACGGAGAACGTCTAACGATATAGGTCATACGTTAAACTAGTAAAAATCAGATTTGAGACCAACCATAGTTATTCTCATTCGTCATACGTTCCTTCTCAGTTATCGAAATGTGTGCTGCTATAATTGTGCTTTCCATCATGACTGTGTCAAAACTATGTACTTAAGGGTTCGCCCTCAACCCGCCAAAAACGTTGCGAATCCTTCGGTCTTGCCAGGAGATTCCTTTGTTGTGCTTTCTGTGATCATTAGATTTAGCTCTGTATTTTTAATATCCGTATTTATCCTTTGATACTTTCATGATGATAAATCAATGTTAGCCTTGATTTACTAATTTGTGTAGTCTTTCTATAAGTAAATATGATCTTGTAAATGCAGAACCTTTTTTCTATCGCTAGTAGTGGCATTACATTTTCCATCGCTTTGATTGTATCTGAAAAATCGACTTAAAGATGGCGCGCCTGTGTAACAATGCAAATGCAAATGTTCTTTATACAATTTACAAAGTGACTTGTGCACGGCACGTGACGTGAATTACAACGGCGCGTCAGCTAAGAAACGTACCCGCCGCTCGGCATAATGAAAGCTATTGCTCTGAACCTGTATATAATGAGTTCATACATTGAGGCAACCCAAACAACTAAAGTGTTCATGTATTAGGCTATATATGCTAATCGGCCTTATGATAACAACTCGATTTCAGAAATAGGATTAATACGGTACAAAGGAATCAGAGATTCAGGACGCACATGAACCGAATTTAACCAATAGTATGTAGCTTAAAACGACCTGACAATTAGTGCCTTGAATCATACACATAGTGATATTCTCGACTACTATTGCTGATCTTCAAAAACAAACTTTTCGTAATCAATCAGAAGAATAATTGAAGACCGGCTGTCAGTTAAAGGTTTGACTGTCCTGCATAAAATACGACGAAAATTTCGTTTTCGAATGCAAACCTGACCATACTTGGTCAATGAATTGAATGTGACAATAGAGAAAACATCAATTGCATCTAAAACTGTATATTTATTGATCGAATTCTCTGACAGATAAGCCGTAAAAGGATGAGGATAAAATTTAGGGATTAACTTTGATTGGCCCTGTATATAAATGGCGTATAAAGCTCCCGAGAGGCTGACATGGTAAGAAAGAAATGTATAAAAATTCAGGTCTTTTCCGTGTACCATCAGAACGTTTGTTTTTTCAAACGACAAATGGGAAAGCGAGAAAGGACTCGATGTTGTCTTAGAACACCACTCTTCTTATGCAGAAGAATGCATCGGGATTGTAACCGTGGACAGTTGTAGGTCAAGCCAAATTGTTGTCACATCCCAGGCGACTAGATAACGCGAGCGCTTCTCGCTTCATCCGGGGAAGTTCGCTAACCAGTTACGTCAAGCCCTATAAATTTCCTCTTAGGTATTGTTTTTGTTCACACCAGCATTCTTGGTTGAATAAACAACTCTTCCGCAAGGCGATATCTGTACGTCCAAAACAGCAGTTTATGCATTAACAAAAACAATCAGAAAACATTCACTTTTCATCGATATTATATGTATAATATATATAAACCAGATTAGTCCCCCGTCAACCGCCGGGACCTTCCTTTCCTGCGCAAGCTTTCTATCCTCCGCTATGGTCCCTTCCTCCTGTGACACCAACACCTCGTGGAAGTGACGCGTATGCAACACAATGGTGTTTCAAACAGTAGAAGGGACACAATCATGATATGACGGTAGATTTTTCGCTTCCCTTCCTCATCCTCCCTTCCTCTCTCCACTGCCCTCCAGCTGCCACTGCAGCACCATGTGGAATGAACGGAAGTGTGCTAAGCAGGTGTTTATATAGCCCTAAGAGTGTTATCACAACTATCCTGCTACAAAACATTGATATCTCAAATCCTGTAAGCTACCCGATTTGTTAGCGGTTTGTTTATCCCATGAGCTTCCTTCTCACTCACTTCATTTTGCGGACGGACACACATACATACATAACATACAGATACACAAAGTAAGCCATTTCTTACATACCAGAATAATCACAAAGTCGCATATGACAACACAAGTTAGCCGCTTTCATCATTTCTATAAAGATATGAGAAATAAATCTTACAAACCTCCTCCTAAGTAATAAGAAATAAATCTTACAAACCTCCTCCTAAGTAATACTCTGAAGCTAAATAATAACCATAATCGATCAAGATTGTGTTTATAAATTAGCTTGAGAGCTTATTTTACTGGTACATGAAGCTGTTTAGAGTTTCATATGAATTGATGGCAAAGAAAATAACCACCATCTTGTAAATTGAAATTACGGTTAATTATAACTTATCGACCCTATCTATGAAAAAACTGGAAAACAACACAATTTTCCAAAGATGAACCACTCAGATTCAACAGCCTCTGTAGCTGACTCCAAAACATCGCTATTTTTTGAAAACTGGCACATTAATTCCTGTTCTTTCCCAGTGTTACACCCAGCAAGCAGAGTAACACCCAGAATCTTTGTTTCACCTTCTCGGATTTTCCGAAATCCGGATATTTCTGGACCTATTACAGAAATGCCAACAGGGAACCCATGTAGAAATAAATAAAAAGGTTGTTGGTGTCTGAAAAAGGACCGACCTTTTGGCACAATGCATGCTTTTCGCTAAGGCGGACCTGACCTGTCTTATAATGGCGGAAAAGCAAAAAAAAAAATACTCTTTCTAAATGTGGCAACAGTTTGGATAGGCTTAAAGGTTTTACGAAAAAATGGTAAGTTTAATTATGGAGTTGAATGAGAAAATTAATTAAGGAGGACGAGGAACAGCCGACGGTGAGCTGACAGAATGACGTTTCAAATGTTACCTTTGTTAAGCATGTTCAGGTCTACCGTTTCGTCAAGATAACTAAATACCCAAATTCGAGGTACGTTAGCTACATTTGGTGCTTTAATACAATGTC